GCACTGTTTTAGATACTACTGATTGATTTAAGTAGTTGAATGACACTCATTTCAAACAGTAGTGCCTATCTGCCAGATCGTAGTGATCCAAACATCGACTTTCTTCTTTTTTTCTTTCTCAAATATCATTGTAACGAATACGATTTTCAATTAATTATGTTTGTAAGATGAATTTTGTTCGGAAGTATGGCATCAACTACAATACTATGAGAAAACTAGGGAAAATCCACTCTGGCGTAGACGTGATATCCAACTGGCTATCGACCAAAGGACATGAGTACTGCTCGGCAGTTCGCCCTGTCCCCCTTTAAGGCTGTGAGCGAGATATAGCCATTGAAAGTGGAAGATACGAAAAGGATAGCAGCTGTCTTTGATCATAGGTGCCTGCGTTCCATCTACATCCCGTGTTAGGTGATGGTATAATTGGGTGAGCAATATTTAGGTTAAGCATCGGTCGAGTGTTAGGTAAGGAGGGGAAATCAATCGACGAGGTTGTGAATTCACACTGATTGTGATGGTTAGGACATGTGCTACGTATGCCTAGCCACTCATCATCTTCCTCGACGGTCAATGTTAGCTGACATAGGATGGATCAGGTTGTAAAAGAGACAGCCAGTGGTGGTCAAACCAAAACATGGCTTCATCAGTCAATGAAATCCACAACAGTTAGTTTTATCCAGCCAAGTGGGAAGGTGTAGACTTCATGATTAGGGCCTTAGGGATGGCAAAAACCGATGAAGGTTGGAGACAAATGATGTTATGGCTCAAAATCGTTCTCAATGGCTGGTGCAGATGCATCCACTCCTTGTGACTTGTAATATCCAATGAAACTATATTGTTATTTCATATTACTATTTTTTTTTTGCTTCATATCTCTGTCTATTATCTCTTTTAACTATCTTCTCTTACTTTGTGCGCTAAGTGAAGTGTGACGACTCGAACTGCTACACATCTGTGCAAAATTCTATGTTGAAACCAGTCAGACCTTTGTGTGATGGATTGAGCACAGGACCATTGTGTTTTCATGAGGAATGTCCACCACGATTCAACCACCAGATTGAAATTCGATGGTCCATAACTGCTGCTAGTTTACTTAACAATGCGATCATAGTCAGATATTGTGTATGGGTAAATTGTCTTCAAAGTCGGTCTAACTAGTTACAACTTGGTATTAAATGCCAAGTAAATCCTCCTCGGTACTAGTTAGTCATTAGTTAGTGAGATCTGGATATGATGAGAAATTGAATTCCTATTTACAGGGTAGACGATAAAGTGTTATTCAAGATACTGAAATAACTATGCACTAGTTCTGTCTCCCGACTGTGAATAGTGCCATGACTGGACCACACATAAGTCCAGTGCTCCTTGATTTCGGGTTAATCCATTGTTAGATGACACTACTTCATGATCTAATCTGGCTTAAAATCAATTAAATTTACATCAATCCTACAAATTAACAATTTCTATTGCCTAAATACCATCCATCAAGTGATAAAGTGATTTAAGAAAACCTCGTGTTAACTTTTCGTATATTTTGTTTAGCTTAATGTGTATGGAACATGTTGTGTATCACGCTATCACATGATTGAATAAAGTTGACTACAAAATTCTAATGAATTTCATTCCTCAAGAGTTTGGTTTGTAAGGATTAGATTTGTTTATACGAGTTTGACCACGGATTGATGTCAGTTAGAGAACCATTGAAAACAAGCAGGGAGTACTGGACAAACGTTCCTCACATCCTAGTTTGGGAGTCATCAACAGTTTGCACCTACTGGGGTTCGGACCCAGGACCTTCCGGTTAAAACTACAGGGACCCTATTCAATGACCAGCCCATGAATTCTAACTTCTACCAATTCGTGATGAGCTTAGCGCGACCACCAACGAGTATCATCGATGGTGCATCCATCCGCACACTTGACTGGTTGAACTTCACTGATCTCATTCTACTGGAAATCGCAAAAAGCTTACATCATTTCGAAGTTGAACGTTGTATAGAAGTGTAACAGCCAAAGGTAAAACAGGGAAGCCAAGGTATATTTTTCACTAATCAAACTGCTGTTTATATATATACAGTTTTATATTCATTTGTTAACCAATCACTGAGCGTGTGACTTTGGTTTACATTAAACGACATGAAATAGAATGTTCAAATACATATATAGTATTCTTTTGCTAATGCCGTATTGAACTGTGGGAATGTGTGAGAATAGTATTCCGTGGGGACACATTGTCTGTATCACCGCCCTCCACAGAAGAACAATGACAGCTTAGCAATATGCGCCGATCTAACTTATAGTACATTACAACACTTTAAAAAAAGCCAAGAAATCTGATCATACACACATAACAATCTGATCAAAATATTTGATTTTGTTATACATATATATGAATAATGAAAATAAAATAATGGGAAGATAGGGCGCTTAATCAATCGCCCTACCGACGATCAGAGATAATCATTAGGAAAATATCAACACAGTTAGTTTCAATTTATAATTGTAGAGCCTTTTACCAGGGTGCAGTCTGAATGCATTTTCAATATACGATAACCGGTACAGATCAATCACTTCTCCCACAATAATATAATATAATATACATACGCACATGTATAAGAATAGAACTTGTGCACTGTGGTAGTGTATAATCCCATTTTGGATAAAGTTTATTTCCACGAGTTCGACCACGGATTGATATCAGTTAAAGAAGCAATGAAAATCAGGGAGTACTAGACAGCTATTTCATCCAAGTTTAGGAATCATAGGCAGTACGCACCCACCACAGGGGGTTCCAACACAGGACCTTCCGGTTACAAGACAAGCTCGTACACCATTCAGCAGTGGATGCGTACTTCCAATGATTCCCAAACTAGTATGAAACGGCTGTCCAGTACTCCCTGCTTGTTTTCAATGGTGTTCTCTAAGTGATATCAATCCGTGGTCAAACTCGTGAAAACAAATCTAATCCCTACAAACCAACTCTTGAAAAGTTTATTTTAAATAAAGTCTCACAGTGATTGTTATGCAGTAATATTTACTGATGACCACGTTTTGAGCACAATTTATCACTGCTCATAGTCATATCAAGGCACTACTCACAGAACTTCCTTGCTTCGTTTATTTAATTCCATTATTTTTCATCGCTTGAATTAGTTGGTAGTAATATTTTTCATATTTCCGGTGTGAGTCATTCCTATTGCACGTGTTGGGTGTAGATTCGATAATCTAAGATTCAGTAATCAAACTCTCTCAGTCTTCACCTACCTATATTACTTTCTTAGAATTTTCACTCTGTCCCACCCACTCAATTGTGTGGTTGTATTAATGCATGCAGAGTACAATTGATGACATTTTTTCTAAATAACTTATCTTCGTGGGATCAATCATTCTAACCTTAGCTAAATTCTTATGTTCCGACAATCTGACTACCCCCGACTTACTAGCTTGACCTATGTAGTTGGCTTAACTCACAATCATTGCAAGGGATTTTGTAAATTATCTTATTCATTTATATAAATGAAGCAAGAAAGTTGTGTGAGTAGTGCCTTGATATGATTATAAGCAATCATTTGTGCTCGAAAAGTGGTCATCAATTAATATAACTGTATAACACCGCTGTGTGATTTATCAAAATGAAATTTTATCCATAATGGAGTTATACTCTACCAAAGTGCCCAAGTTTTATTCTTATATCAATAACATATATGATTATTGATTTTTTTCTCCTACAGCTAAGCATAGGCCTTAAAATTTCACTTACACTAAAAATAAGTAATCCTTTTGGTGTGAGAATAGTTCATCAAAATGAATATTCCACTAAATGTGATTATCATCGGGCCTTATCCAAATGATTAAAGGTATAGAGTTAAGTACTCCGAAGAATTATAAATTATTCTATAAGCTTAAAGATACTTCGCATACGGATGACATTTATGTAGATATATAATGTGTTCACAGAGGTAATATCAACAGCGCAACAAAACACCGAGATATGGAAAAGTTGCAGTTGGCATCATTTCTATATACGAAGTCAATTTCTGTATGCTTCACGACACTGTAAGAAAAGAAAACCACCTCTTGTTGACATGCCGCCGCCAACTGCTGTTTAGGAAATCCAACTTTAAGTAATGATGGAGAAGATTTGTATCTCAGGTGGATGATTTTGATGCAGTTGTTTTGTTCTCTCAGTTGGATGACTTATTTGCGAAGCTTTCAGTGCCCGCCTACTAGGCAACATCGCTTCAGCACATACTTCAATTTGTTGAAGTGAGCTTTTAGATTTCTCCACGAGTTTATCAGTCGTCTCTCTTGGCGGGTGACCTTGAACGTGATTAGTTGTTTTTGTGTTTTCACACCCTCTAGGCTACTTGTATTGGTACTGATTGTTTCCTTGACCTGAAGTTTAACCCTTTGTGTGTGAGATTTCCTTCTTATCGATTGGTACATTTTGTCTGTGTCAATGTGTCTATTGATTGACGATTCACTGAAAAACCAGGCTTCCGAAAATTCTCTCGCTTTCTTGGTGTTAAGGCTGTCTAATATTTGGACGTTGTCCCAGTCGAATTGATGTCCGTGGTTGCCTGTGTGCAGTGAGGCGATATGAGGGAATGAATGTCATGTCTTTTGACGGCTAGCTTATGTTCACGGATACGAAGGCAACGTCCACTTTGGCCAATGTGGTGTTTTTCTCAGTCGTTGCAACTTATTTTGTTGTTGTTGAGTCTTTTGATTGACACAGCGCTGAGTGAAGTGATTTTGAAAGAAATCTCACACACAAAGTGTCAAACTTCAGGTCAAGGAAAAAATCAGTACCAATACCAATACAAGTAGCCTAGAGGGAGTGAAAACACACAAAAGCAGCCAATCGCATTTAAGATCACCTACTAGGAGAAATGACTAATAAACTCGTGGAGAAATTGAAAAGTTCACTTCAACAAATTGAAGTGTATGCACTGAAGCGAGGTTGCCTAGTAGGGCGGGCACTGAAAGCTTCGCAAATAAACCATTCAGCTCAGAGAACAACACATCTACATCAAAATTAAACGTTATATTGAAAAAAGGCGATTTAGAGAAAAAAATATTACTAAGACATTTATTAGAAAGACAACGGTAGATACATGGAAAGTAGAAAAGAAATAATCAATCAATCAATCAAACAATCAGTCATCATCGTCGGAAATTTGGTGTTTCTTTTTGGCCAACTTCGCTTTCCGTCGCATCATATCACGTATTAGCTCTTCATTATCTTCTAGAGCTGCCAAGCGTGCACTAAAAACAGAAGAAAAATAAGGAAGATGTATTTATAATTAACTTTCAAGTATCAAGTAGAATTATGCTGAAATTTCACACTAAAAGAGTATCATGATTTACGTCTTAAGAATATACAAGTAAGATATGGAACAAGTCATTTTATGGGGGAAAACAACAACCGCTTTTTTTATTCCTTTACGTTCCCAGTGGAACATAGGGCTTCAAGCTAGAGAGGCTTGGAGTTTCAGTAGCAGTGGTGTTTATTACTTTTACGGGATGGGGTTGTTAGTCTCATGCTCAACCTTCCCTCTTTACCAGTCTTATTACTGGCTAAGCGAGGTAAAGGAGTGCGTCCGTGGCCGGAGATCGTACCCAGAACCATCTGCGTAGTTGGCGAGGATTCTACCTATGTGCCACCAACGCCAAAAAACAGCTGAAGTACCACACAATAAAAAATAATGTGCTCAATATTTTTGTTATGGTTGGGGACAAGCTTCTTTGTTAGCCGTGAAGTCATAATTAAGGCATGTATTGACATGATAATCTGATTCGACAGTGTTTGTCTCGTTTAGAGATCTTCATGTCATACTGTACGGAACCAGAGAAGTTGGTAAAATTAAGTTGACTTCAGAGTCGTCTCACCATCAACGACCAATTTGTTTATTTGTGCGGAGTGAAATGCATGGCGGACCTGCTGGAATGGTGTGAAGAACAGCCTGACTACCAGGTTAGGTGGGCCGGGATAGAGTCAGCCGGTAGTGTGGCCAGAGCTTATCTCTAGCCACAGCAATCATGAACGTTATTCCTAGTTGAAGCCAACTGGAAGAAAGCTCGAAGTCGTTCAGGCAGCCTAACTAACTGGATTCCTAGAATACAGCCAATCAGATATGTTTTATTCACTGCTTAGATTTCCGATAGTTTCGTAAATACATTATACCATGTATTTTGCCTAATAAGCGTTATCGTCACTCCCAATCTAACTTCTGTGTCTGTCTGAGTATGGGAGATATTTTCAAGTGGTTAGTTGGTTATAGTGTCGTGTTTTGGAGGCGTATTATTCTAGTCAAGTTAGACGAACCCACAAAGCATTATCACTGGGTGTCATAACAATGTTCACCTGAAGTTCTCTAGGTAAAGTGAAACCAACAGTTGGAAGTAATGTGTGACACGATAACAGCAGAACACACGCATACAAAATATTCGTTATATATCCATTATGCCTCACTATCATTATTTCTTTACTGTATAAACCTAAACAGTGCTCATATTGTTGTTGTTTTTTGTTTTCGTCTTTTTACTGACGACAGAAAATCAATGTGTATTTATTTCAATTTAAAGATCGATACTTTCAAAACTTATATACACATGTATATTAGAATATTAAATCTACTTGTGAATGAACTTTTAAAAACCAGGTTAAGCCCAGATAAAACTATCAGTGAACGATCAATAGTGCAACGATATAGATTATTGGTTTTTATTTGAAATTTTTGAAAGGAAAGAAATCGATTTCAGAAGTATTAAAATTAAAGTAATATAATCTGTAAAAAAAAAGAAAGATGATAGCTTTCTTGTTTATTCAGTTATACTAACAACTTCTTACTAACTAGTGTGCTTATAAAACTACACAAATAGCCTACTCAATTACCCAGTTTCTGAATGATTAAAATTGTATTACACCTCACTAGTGTTAAGGATTAAACAAGCAATCAATTGACAAATAAAATATTCTCTGTTCATTAAGGTTGATATAACTTCTCATGTAAGGGAAATTTACAACACACTTGAATATATCAACAGTTAGTTAGTCGACTGACTGGTTTCAAAGCAGAACTTTGCATAGATGTGCAGCAGTTCGAGTCGTCACACTTCACTTAGCACACAGAACAAGAGAAGAGAGTAAAAAGAAATGCAAAACAGGAACAGTAGAGAGAGATATAAAACAAAAAGAATAGTAATATCGATGAACCATATAGTTTTATTGGATATTACAAGTCACAAGGAATGGATGCATCTGCGCCAGCTAGCCATTGAGAACGGTTTTGAGCCATATCACCAATTGTCTCCACTCCAACTATCATTGGTTTTTACCATCCCGAGGACCCCAACCAGTCAGCAGTATACATCTCTCTACATCGCTAGCTTAAACTAACTGTTGTGGATTTCATTGACTGATGAAGCCATATGTTGGTTTGACCACCACTAGCTCACTCTTTTCCAACCTGATCCATCCTACGTCAGCTAATATTGACCGTCGACGAAAGTGATGGATGGTTAGCCATGCATAACATATGTCCTAACCATCTCAAACGATATAACTTCACAAACTCGTCAATTGATTTTCTCTCCTCACCTGGCACTCAACTCCTTACCTAAATATTGCTCACCCTGTTATACCACCTAACACGGGATGTAAATAAAACGCAGACACCTACGATCAAAGACAACTAACCTTTTCGTATCTTCCACTTTCAATGGTCATGTCTCACAGCCATAAAGGGGGACAGGCTGAACTGCCAAGCAGTCTATCACGTCTATGCCATAGACAGCGTTAACTGGCACACGGCTTCATAAGCACATTCCTATTTCATCCTGTTTTCTGAAGTCCTATTTAGTTGGCTCCAGGATTTCCTATAAGCTAGCATAGCTTTTACGCGAACTCCTCAGTGTCACAATCGGACGCCTAACTCGTTGCTCCCTATTCGGCTTGAACTTGGGGTCTGGTATGCGATTTCACCCAATGATCTCCACAGTGTGTGTTTGATCCATTTCAATTTTCTTTGGCATACTTATGGAGCAATAGGCTTTTAGTTGGTTTTTTCCCAGAGTTCCTTGGCGCCAGTCCTTACTGAAATCAGTTTCGAATGCTTTTGGTGGCGTACTGAGCCACTGAACCATATAGTAGAACTGACTTGACATGAGTGTTGAGAATTCAGTTGGTCTACTACAATCACCGTACATTTAAGTGGGGTAAAACCTATCACCAATACGCCTATAATTCCACCTATAGCTTTCAGAAGACCAAAATTTATCAGCATCCTCATCGGAAAGAATTGTATCTTTTGGGCAATTTCAGTCGACCAGTTTTCAGTAATAAGTTGATCAGTCAGATGCTTAGATCAAACAACGTCGTCATCAGAAGATCCATAATCGGGTGAAATAAAAATAGGGACACTGGTCATCACTGGTTGATACCGTTTGTTGCTAGCATTATAGCCGCCCACTGTTTAGGTAATATCTAATCCGGAAAGAGTCGAAAGTCACGACCAGACTAAGCAATCTAGTGACAGACACCAGCAGACTACTGAAGCGTTAGGGTTTGAAACCATGTGATACTTTGGGGTATATTGCTAACGAGTACCATGTACAATCTGGGTAACGACGGAATCTAGGAACTTAAAAACGACATATTTAAGCTGGCCTCTATGTGGTCATCGTAAGCATCGTCTCTTTCTTTATGAACTGGAGTATTCAAATAAAAATCTACTATCATCTTATTACTCTCGTATAGTGGAGGAAACAAGACATTTAGAGAAACATCGACGCTGAATTTGTTTTCAGTCATACCAAATGTCTTGAGCAATATTCACACGTTGAATAAAATTGTGTCAAAAAAAACCTAGTTTAGCGAGGAGGCCGATCGAATATTGGCAAAGGTATGAAAAGCTATTGTCACAATGTAATCAGCTGAAACTGTTATGAAGGTTTAAAAGTGTTGTAATTTTGTTGAGTGACTGAAAGATGACGGTTTAGAAAACAACCTGACCATCTATTATGAACCTCTTTTTGATATTCGCAGTCATGTGGAAAAGTAGATACCACTATTGGAACCCCAAAAAGCACAACACTAACTGACACTAAACGATGCTTTGTATTGTGACCACACCAACTACAATCATATTCTTTCACAGAAACTTGGAAGAGAAGTAACCTTCTCGAGGATGGGTAGCCAATAAATGTTGACCACCTATTCACCTTTGGTTGCATTCAGGGTGACTTTTTAGGAATTTAACCCCAGAATACAAGTGATGCCAGCCACTCATCCGAATTTCATTCTAATAACCTACAGAAACACACTTTACCAAAATATGTCCTGGTATTACCAAAGTTGTCACACTTCACATTGTCATATTACGGTAGAATATTGATTAAAAAGGACAAAAACATCAGGAATAGTGGAAAGCCATCAGCTACCAGGAATGAAGACATGACAATACGAGATGCACACGAATCTAAGTTATTTGGATAAGTGATCTACAATTTCACTGGCTTTCGTGTCCACAAGTGGACCTCAATTATTGAGGGCACAATACACAGTACAACTCAGATTAACAATCAAATGTTTGGTGAGTCGACTTCATGTCACAATCTGATTATTCATAACTTTCTATACTACTCCGTTTATTGGACATATCACAGTGAACAGTATTATTTACTCGATGACGTTTCGAACACACAATCTAATAGTTATGTTCATATCATCACTTGTGATGCTACTGATTAATGTATGATGGCAAATAATTAGACGTCAAAGCTTCCTTTGTGTCTTACTTCCTGTCATATTTTCTTTCTTACTATTCAGCTATTTTACCCTGATGAATTTATCCGGAATTATACAGGTCACAGAAAAATGAGCAAAACAAACAATAAAAATGAAATCAATAGCAAATATTCGCAGAAAGATGACAACCCGGAGATAATTTGATAAAAGGCTGAAATCCTGAAACCTTACGTAGGATCTTAACAAGGCAGGAATAAAAGTGGCATCAGAACCCACGAAATCTTAAACACTGAGTAATTTAATTTGATTGTGAGGTTCATCGGCTTTGTGGAAAAAACCTGAGGTATAGCACGACATGCAGTAACACACAAACACAGCAGCATGGGACAAAGTGACAGTAATAAAATCTTATTTATCAGGGTGGAGGGGGAGACTAACTGCTAAAGCTTTACTTATAGAATCACTTGGGAACACGTATAATAGCAATAAACTATAAGTTGCGTTCGAAACATGATCAGTAAATAAAAATAAATGGGTAATTTCAAATTAAGTCAAAATATGTAATAACACTCCTGCAGTCACCACATATTATTCTTGTTAAATGATCTTGAATTCTCCTATGAAAATTTCAAACACCTTACTTCTTAGCTTTTCTTGATACAACCATCAGACCTGTGCCAAAATTCACAAAACACTCATATAGATACTGAACACTGACATAGAATACCACTAGTCTCTTCATATGATAATGATTCAGAGGCACCTGCATAGATGCAATTGAGGACAAAATCGCTTGAAATGACATTCGACATTGACCTCGTATACTAATCAACAGAACTAAACGAAATATGAGGACTGATAATTTCAGATACCAAAACTATCACGCAAATATCACACAAAGAGACAACAAAAATAAAGTTTATGCAAAGAGAATAAGACGTTATCAAAGTTAACGCAAAATTAAAATACATGAGAATGCTTACCTTCTACGTTCCTCCTTTTCTATATCACAGTATTTCGCCTCCATACATCGCAAATCTTCGTATGGATTGACATCTTTGTACTTCCGAGGATCAAATTTAAGGGCTCGATGAATATCACGTACAACGCGAGCATACTCCTTTGATTGCAATGCTTCACTATCATCTATGAAACTGTCATCACTGAGATAATCATCCTCCTCTTCACTATCAGATACGGCATTATGTTGCGGTTGCAAGTTGACACCTAATTGTGCGCTTATACCTCTTCTTTGGAATGTTTCGTTAGGGGGTTTACACTGAGGCTGATCTCTTGGTTTTTGCATTTGTGGAGTACTGTGCTGGTTCCTAATGCCACTTTTACTTGCCACAGAAATGGGTTTTGACGATGGCGCTTTTAACTTATCATACGCTTTTTCAGTGCCCTGTTTGATAACGTTTGTACCTGATGGTTTAGCTTTGCTAAATACCTCCGTTTTTGATTTTAGGACATTGACTGACTTTACACAATTGGGACCTTTGGGTTGTAACTTAGTTTCTTTAGGCAAATTAACTTTGGGTGCTTTTGCTGACTCAGTCTTAACTGCTGTGGAAGGCTGATTCTTTACATTTGAGACGAGGAGTTTCTGGTCCTTTTTACTAGGTACACCAAATATTTGATTTTTCTTTTCTAAGCATTGAACAGTCCTTTCCATTATGCTTCCTCTGCTTATCTTATTGTTATCATTACTGAAGCCAGGGGATTTACATGGCTTTGTTGATGTCACACTAGGAGGTACTTTTGACGGATTCTGTTTGACATTCACCGGTGACGACTTACACTTGTTGGAAGGAAGTGTTGTCGTTTCACGTTGAGGATTTGTAGGATGACTATCCAGTTTGCGATACTTCGAGTCCACGGAACATGGGATAAGATCATCGAACGGTCTTTTTTCAGCCACATGTGGCTGCACATTTTTCTTAGCTAATTCCATCATTTCAGCAAAGGATAGACGACTCGGCTTCCGCTGCACCTCAACTTTTTTCCTAGAATCATTACTTTCGGCAGTGCGTTCGGTGACATTGCTCTGCTTTGACTTATTAGGTAGTTGTTCAGTGTTCTCTCCATTCTTCGTACCTTTAGAATATGGTTGTTTATCTACTTTATTTGCTGAAGTTGTAGTAGAGAGACGACTTTCGGATTTCGTTGCGATATTATTTTTTTGGGAAACACCAGAAGATATAGAACCATTATTACAGCCATTACTATTTACATTATTATTAACCGGCAGTGGTTTTGAAATTTCAAGTTTGAACTTCCGATTAATTTTTTCTGCAATCTCTAACTGTCTTTTCCGCTCAATATCACGTTGCTTTTTTTGCTCTTCAATACGTTTAACCTTAAGTACATAACTAGACTAATAAGAAACTACCTCGTCATCATGGCGACTCTGCTTTTTCTTAGCCAATGCAAGGATCTCTCGAAACTCCATCAAACGCCCCGCGTTTACCTTGCTTCTTGAAACATCTTAAAAGAAGTAGGTCCAATATCCAATGCTTCTACGACTAGTTTCTGTTAAAATATTTGTTTTTGTGCGCTCACCTCTAGACACTGAACAATCGAGAATTGGAGTTTCGGGCAACGATGGAAGGAACGGCAGAAATATTTCATTTTTTTCGACTGGTAAACAAACTCACCATACCTACTCATAAATCAAGAATACGTTATTTCCTTCTGAATTTGACATGATCAGACAACAAACAGCCCATATCTGCAACGCATGCTAATGATTTTTTTTATTCTAAGTCAATTTAGTCATATGGGGGACTGAGAGGAAGAAATAGAATAGAAGAGGAGGATGATTATCTCAGTGATGACAGTTTCATAGATGATAGTGAAGCATTGCAATCAAAGGAGTATGCTCGCGTTGTACGTGATATTCATCGAGCCCTTAAATTTGATCCTCGAAAGTACAAAGATGTCAATCCATACGAAGATTTGCGATGTATGGAGGCGAAATACTGTGATATAGAAAAGGAGGAACGTAGAAGGTAAGCATTCTCATGTATTTTAATTTGCGTTGACGTAGATAACTGCTTTTTTCGTTTATATCACTACCGCCAAACAAGTAATTTTTTGTAATCTGAAATTGTCTGAGCCAGGGTTTCTTGCTCCATTAAACGATTTTATAGGCACGATCAGTTATGTTACAAATTATAATCGTGAAATATAATAAATAAGCGCGTTTTCAAAAGTTTGAATTGTTGGTAGATTGTGCAAGGAATCAGGACAGATTCTTATAAATGACAGATTCTTATAACTGTAAACCCCTCACTGAGGTCACGGTCAAGGTTAAGCGCCAGACTGAACTTCGTTTCGTTCCTTGCTGATAGTTATGGTGGACCAGTGAACAGCCTATATTGGGTTAGGTGCTATGCCCCCGCGTTATTAAAGGCTATTTCAGGAAGAGGAGAAAGTCCTGGGAAACTGCAAAATGATATAAAATACGATTATAAGTAATAAATCATCGAAAGTATATTTACAATATATATGCGAGAAGGAGCTAAAGAGTCCTTGGAATGATAGTATAAATTTGCAATGTTTAATGCTGCCTGTATTGGTCTTACCATGGAGACTGTGATGTTTTCAATGAAAATATAACTTTGTTCAAAAGTTGTTGTTGTGTTTTTTCAACCGGGGCAACTAGAATTTACATGAGCGAGGAATACAAATAAAAGAGTAATTTTAAGCTTTATTAAAGGCCTAGGTAGTTAAAATAAAATAGAGTATACTAGTGCGTAAATGAAAAGATTATTGTGAGGTAGATAAGTGATATTTCGGTGATAAGTGAATTCAAAGATCTAAAAGGTTAAAACCCGTAGAACATGCTGACCTATAAGATATCAGACGAATATCTGTAGGACTCATGGGGTAGCATCTTGACAAAAAGCTGAGCGGGCAAAAGCGTTTTTTAAAATTTAGTTCTCTACAACCCGTATTGTTTGTTTTATTAAGGATCTGGACTAATGTTTAATTTTCGAGTTGTCGAAAATGCAAGCTGCTGTCCTACAGATTAGAGCGATTCCCATTTGTGATCGCAACTATATCGGCTGATCAGCATGCGCCATCCTATCTCCGTTACAGCGTTAAGCTCTGAGGTTTTTGCAGTAACTGCAGTTATAGTATTGCATCGCTTTGAGCCCTTCCCAATCATACAGTATGCTGCCCATTAATATATTTTATGACAAATGCTTCCCATTAGGCCGCCAGACGCATCGATACCTGGGGACATTCTAATCAATATTACCCATATACATCCATACATGTATATAGGTAGCAATAACAAACGACTAAGAAATTAAGTTTCCCTTACAAACTTATAAAGTATAGAAGTATTTTATATTACATCAGCTAAGTTGCAGTCTATTTAGCAGAGTGAAATGAATAATGGAACAACTAGTGGTAAAGTTATGTAGAATGATCCTAAGGAAAACAGCTGGTTAGCAGAACTTGTCATCCTAAATTTTCACGACAAACTTGCATATGGTGTGCGTCAGACATAGAAAAGTAACCCAGAAGCTTATGCTATGGAAGAAATACCGAGAAATGTTATAAAATTGCACATTTTGGTAAAATATATGAAGAAAGGTGGTTATTGACTGAATGTAGTCATTTCAGCACACAAACAACAGTGTATTGTTAGTAAAATATAAGCGAAATATTTAAAGGTATGGTTGCTAATATAATTGTTTCTAGAAATACCTACATTAACAGAACTTACTGAAGATTATAGAGAATAGAATATCAGCAAATAAGTTAAACGTTCGCTGCGTAAGTAGCAGAGATGAGTTATATGTCATTGACTACGCTGAGGACTGGATTAGCTTTCATTTACTTTTCCACTAACAGTTGTTGTCTTTAGAGAGCTATAGTGGACCTGTTAAGGTGTCTTTACAGATGTCTTTACAAGAACTAATTTCAGATAGTAGTCGGTTCCAAAGTGTGCAATACTTATTGGTGAAAAAGTTTGCTCTAATCGCTTTTCTGTGGGTAGCCACCTTAAGAAGGTATTCGTGGATTCGCGGCTGATATGATTTAATATTTGACCACATTATGGGTGAGTCACTGTAACAATGTTTCTCAATAACTTTGAAGAGTAGAAATAAGTTGCATTTCGCTCTCCTCAACTCACGTCTGGTATTACTTGCAATAAAAGTGATGGCAAAATCATACAAATAAATCACTCATTTTAAATTAATACCCATTTTGAACATAAAACAAGAACAAGATACGATGCCGCACACAACAAAGTTATATGGAGGAACTGACTTCAAGCTTTATTTTTTCCCAAATATTTCTCATTCATCAAACGTGTACTTGGGTTTTTTGTTAATGCGAAGACAATATTTCTATATTTCTTAATGTGCTCCATTGAACGACTAGCTATCAGATTGTACTCACTAACTGATGTCAGAGAGGACAGCAACCATGTAATTTCACTATAAATCAAATTCATGTAATGTAAATAATACTTATCCATGCCTGTACAACCGGTGTGTCCTACATAGATAGGAAATATATATATCGGTAGCCCAAATTTAGCAGGCCGACCATAGATATCAGGTGTGTGTTTGCGGGGGATCGAACCCCAGACCATGTGCATGGTCGGCGAGAGTCCTGACCGCTGTGCCACCGACGCACAGAACTGCTGCTCGAGTCCACCATGAAGAATAATGAATCAAAACTATTCATATTGCTGGGAACCCTGCGATGGTTTTAATACTGAAAATGAATGAATTTGTTTACTTAATTCAGCACTCCAAAATGCGGTAAAATTCTAGCAAGACATTGTGCTTAGCTACCTAAAGAAACTAGATGCATGGAATTCAATGGATCCTGATAATCTTCATCCACTATCGCGGTACGTTCAACGTTTGCGTTAAATTTCTGCGTGATTCGTTACATAAAATTTATCTTGTTGTAATCCTTCCACAAGTACTTACTACTTCCATACCTGTAACCCTTAACTCTCATATTAAATAGTTACGGTTAATCAAAGTAAAAAAGCAACGAAACCAATCCCCTCTAAATCTGGTAACTAATTTTACGTCTTTGATTGCTACATCAAGCAACACACTCCCTACAAACGGTTATAGTGAGCCACATAACTCACTTATATGCCGTAAGCGTCGAGCTGGAATTGAGAATAAAACTGTATTGACAGATAGTATTAGCACTACTCCTAAAAATTCAGTACCCTCTTCTCATACAGAACCCCTCCCTACACCTTGTGTGATTATCAAAAAACTCCAGCCACCAAGCTCTGTTTCAGTACTACCTTCAGAAATAGAAGGTTGTCAATAGGAGAACTTAAGGCTGAGTTAAGGGAAATAAAATGCAATAAGTCAGTAAATGCTGGAAATTCTGAAACCAATACCAAGATATCCAAATTATCAGATCAGATGAGTGATATCAGATCGAAGGTCTGTGAAAACTGTTAACCTTAACAAATTTGACACAGAATCGGTAACTAAGGTAGATAACCTCATTAACCTTGTTACTACAGAAGTAACAAAACGACTCGACGCTAAACTGAGTGCTATTGTCTACGACGTTGCAGACAATGAGGCACTAAAAAAGGTACAGCGCATCTTACTTAGTGAGGCGAAAATGCCCAACTCCTAGACTAAGTGCTATAGACTGAAGAAGAGTCAACATGAAAAGTGTTGTCTTGTTCGTCTTCAGTTCGAAACACCGGCAGAGACCAGAAAATTCACCTACTCCCAACACACCCTATCGCAAGCCAGAAACTACAAACTAATAAAGGTTGCGGTAGACAGGACAGTCATAGAAAGGCGCGCATATAACTATCTCACTAAGCCTAATTGTGAAATAAATAATAGGACATTGCAAGCAGCTGTTATACCCAACCCTTTGAGAGATACGGTGAAATCACCGCACCACCCCTCTCAAAGCACACAGAATTATCCCCTCAGAGTGCAACACCAGCCAAAAGGCCACTAGATTGTAATCAAATAACTAATAAAACCATACCACCTATCACCGTAGATTTAGACATGTCACTAAATAACCCCAGAAAGAAGTCAAAGCCCCCGAAAGTCGACACTGTCCTCTCCTAGCCATAACTCCTTTGTAAAGAGGAAGTAGTTAAAAACCTATTCAAAATATGTCACTGGCACCGAAAGGTCAAATACACTGACCAAATGCTTCTCAGAAAAATGTACACGATAAGGAAAATAAGACCCCAAATCATGCCAACAATAACAATGACAGCATAAATAAGCCCACACTTCCCACTGCCAATAGTATTAGCACTCACAACGTGCGAAATCGCACCATGGCTCACACTAATAACCAACTTCACAGCACTGCCACCCTCAATAGTACAAGTGGCAACAGTCAGAACTCGGCTACCAACAGCTCAGGGTCTCCAGAGTATGGCACACCAACAAATTTTGATCGGATATATGGTACAAGTCTGCTGGGAACTAACCCACAATGCAGTGCACACGAAACCCATACAATGATAGAACTAGTATCAAACAATAGGTGGAATAATAAACCA